GAGTCTTGCTGAGTTGCCGAGGCTGTCCTCGAGCTTCTGATTCTTCTGCCTCAGCCTCCTCAGTAGCTGGGATAACAGGCACGTGCCACCACGCCCAGTGGAGTATTTCTTACATCTGTGTTTCACTCCCCTCATACTATTTATTTTTAGTGTTTATATTGTCTGAACTTTTGACCACTGAGAACTAGTTGAGGTTGGCTTTGTGTCCTTTCACATGACCCAGTCATTCTGATAATTTGTTGGCTTTTTCCAAACTCATTTTATATATTTAAGGATATAGGATTTTTAGTATTTTAAAAAATTTATATTGCTATATATTTCTTCAATACTGAAGATCTTAGTTTTCAGTTTTGTTCTGGTGCCATTGGAAATTGAGCCCAGGGTGCTCTACCTCAACAACATCCACAGCTATTTTTATTTTATTTTATTTTATTTTATTTTATTTTAGTCTTTTTGAGGCAGGGTCTCACCATGCAGTTCAGACTGACCTTGAGCTCACTTTGTAGCCCAGGCTGGGTTGCAAACTCGCAGTGATCCTCCTGCCTCAGCTGGGTTGCAAGGGTGAGCTACCACATCAACTGAAAATCTTAAATTTTAGTAGGCTTTATATAATTTTTAACTTTTTTCTTTAGTGACAGACTGTGTAATTATATAACTTTTCATAGTACAAAACCAAAATCAAGGAAGTACAAACTTCGCTTTCCTAGAGACTCAAGTTTTTCTCTTTTTTTCTTCATACTTTGTTCACTACATTCTTAACCACCGGATACTGTGAGTGACTCCCTAATAACTAGGTCATCGTGGGGACTTGGTGTATGTTCAACTTACTCTTTACTCCCTTCCTCCTCCCTTGCCTCCTCTGCCCCCATCTGGTGCCTCTTTTAACAACGTAAGAAATTGTGTATACAAAAATAATACTTGGTTAAGTGACCTGACATAATTGATAAAAGGTCAGACAGCCCTGGAGATAGAGAATTCTTTCTCCAGTGTTAACAACAGCAGTTTGTAAAGTAGCTCATGTCTGTATCCTGAGTAGGTACTTCATAAATCCTCTGGATTTTTTTTCTGTCCTGGATTTGGGTAACTTTTAAGAGTAGGACCTTGCTAAGTCAGGCTAGAATAGTGCCTCCAAAAGTCTTTGAATTAAGAAAAAGAATGACCTGTGTTTATTTCTTAGAGATTTGTTGGTGCTTCTACTAAAAAGGGAGCCACATTCTACAAGCAAGGTTAATTGAATCTTAGATTGAATTTAGATTAATAAAGAGGCAATATGCAGTTATTTGGTGCTGTTTATTTAATACCAGTGAGAAACTAACTTGGTTTACTGTTTTTTCCAGATGATGGGCATAAGAAAGCTCGAAATGCTTATCTCAATAATTCCAATTATGAAGAAGGAAATGAATATTTTGATAAAAATTTGGCACTCTTTGAGGTAATACTTTGGAGAAAACTACAAAATTTAGGAAGAGATTTCAAGATAGCTATTGTCTCTTATTTTAAAATAAGCTGAATAATGTTTAAATAAAATATACTTGTTATAACTTTTCATTATAATTAATTTTGTCCACATGATCTAATTATAGTGAGTATTTATTAAATGTTATGTTTGTTTTTTGTTTTTTGGGTTTTTTTTTTTTTTTTTTTTTTTTTTTTTTTTTTTTGGTTTTTCTCCGGTACCGAGAACCGAACTCACGACCTTGTGCTTGCCAGGCAGGCGCTTTTTGCCGCTGAGCTAAATCCCCAGCCCCTGTTTTCTGGGTTTTTGTTTTGGATTTTTTGTGTGTGTGGTACCAGGAATTGAACTCATGACCTCACGTTTGCCAGGCAGGCTCTGTGCTGCTGAGCTATATCCCTGGCCTATTAAATGATATGAAGTAAGGAAGAAGAGTGTTGATTTCTCAGACATATGGAGAGCCTTGTAGTCTGATTTAGATATAGAATAGTTTGAATATAAAACAGCCCTATGTTTAGGAAGACTAACATTTAACTTAGAACTATCTAAACGATAACCACTCTAAGGAGAGGCTGCCAGATTAAGATTTATATGTCTCTTTTTATTGGTACATGTTTGCAATACATGACGTTTACATTCTTTGGAGGAATATATATATATATGTGTGTGTATATATATATATATATATATATATATATATATGTATAGTATTTACTATCTCCCTTCAATTCTTCCCCTATTCCAAAAATGTATCTGTTTATAACAAATAATAATTACATTTTCAGGTAAAATGTGATATTTTCATTTATGTAGATATTGTGGGATGACTAAATCAAGTTACTTAACATATCCATCACCCTTTGTACTATTAGTGATATAAATATTGGAATTTTAGTTTCTTAGCAGTTTTGAAATACACAGTATATTAAGGTGGTCACCATATTGTGGAACAGATGTAAAACTTATTACTCTTGTTTAACTAAAACTTTGTAACCTTTGCCTGACATTCCTGGTTCTTCCTCCTCTCTTTCCCCAGCCTCTGGTAACCACCATTGTACTGTCTACTTCTGAATTAACTTTTTGAGACATGGTCTTACTGTGCAGTTCAGGTTGGCCTTGAACTCACTATGTAGCACAGGCTGGCCTTGAACTCAAGACAATCCTCTTGCCTCAGCCTGCCAAGTGCTGGGGTTACAAGCATGCACCACCATGCCCAGCTGAGTTAAAATTTTTAGTATTGTCATATAGGTAAAATTATGTGGTATGCCTCTCTTTGGACTTATTTCACTTAACATAGTGAAGAGAACCTGTATGTGTTATCTGACTAAGACTGATGGGTCTGTGTCCAAACTACTGAAAGAGACTGGTTTAGTACAATACTACGTTTGTCTGGCTTTAGACAACAGTGGAAGTGCCATATCTCGCAATGTGCTTTGTTAAAAAAAGTTCTTTTTCTTTCAGCTTCCTTCAAACTAAGTTCTGAGGTGAACATTTATTTCAACCACAGATGTTCTTCCTCAGTCTATCATGCTTGGTGCTATAGTAATTACACAGCTGGGACTGTAGCTCAGTGATGAAGTGCCTGCCTAGCATGAAGGCCCTAGGTTTGACCCCCAAACAACTTAAAAAAGAAAAACCTAATAATTGCCATAAATATTGGTAGCCAAAAGAGGGTGTGATATAGTTGATCACATTACCAATGTGAATGTTAGTACTGCAGGAGCCACTGATTTGTTTTCACTGTAGATAGTTACTTAGCTACTACAAAGAATAATGAAAGTTTTCATTAAGAATGTTATAAGTAGGGGTTTGGAGATGTAGCTCAGTGGTAGAGAACTTGCCTGGGAAGTGTGAGGCTTTGGGTTGGATCCCTAGCACAAGAAAAAAGGAAGGATGAATTAGTGTAAGCAGAAAACAGCATGAAATTTCCCCAAAAAATTCGAAATAGAACTACCACATGACCTAGCAGTTCCACCATTCAGTATATAGCCAAAGAAAATGAAGTCAGTATGTCAAAATAATGTCTGGGTTTCCATGTTTATTGCAGCATTGTTCATAGTAGCCAAGATATGCAACCTAAGTGTCCAACAGTGATGAATGGATACGGAAACATATAACACAGTAGACTATTATTCAGCCTTAAAAAGAGGGTAATCCTGTCACTGGAGACAACATGGATGAATTTGGAGAAAATGTGTTAAGTGAAATAGAAAAATATCACTGATCTCACTTACATATGGAATCTGAAAGGTGAATTCCTAGAAGCAGGGAATACAGTGTTAATTATCAGGGGCTATAGATGGGACTGATGAGGCAATGTTAGTCAGAGGGTATAAAATTGCCATTGGACAGGAAGAATAAGTGTTATGGCTGTGTCTAGATGTCCTCCCAAAGCCTCATGCAGTCGTAGGTGGAGCTTTTTCAGAGGTGGCTGAATCTAGAGTGTGTGATTAATTAATGGTGCAATGCTAGGATTAAGGGGGTGTGTGATTACTAAGTTAATCCACTGATTAGTTTGGGACCACTCTAATCTGGTAGTCTGGATACAGTATAAAGAACAGAAAGAGGCTTGTCTTGTTCCTTGTTGCTTTGTTACCTTCTGCCTGCCATGAACTGTTTCTTCTTTGTGATGCCTGTCTGTCACGCCACCCTGCCTTGGAGCCACCTGACTATGGATTGAAAATTCTATAAACTGTGAGCTAAATAAACCTTTCCTCCTTTAACTTCAGGTGTCAAGTATTTTGTCTCAGCAATGAGAGAAAACTAAAACAATAAGGTTTTCAGATATGTTACACAACATGATGACTGTAGTTAATATATACTTGAAAGTTGCTAAAACAGCAGATTTTCAGTGGCCTCACTACAAAAAGAAGTACTTGTCGTGATGGATATATTAACTAGCAAGATTTTTTGTATGTATGCATATGTCAAAACATGTTATGCACTGTAAATATATGCAGTTTATTTACTTACTTGGTGGAACTGGTTATTGAACTGACGGTCTTCATGCTGAGCTGTATCCCCAGCCCTTTTTTAAAAATTACGTTTTATTTTGAGACAAGGTCTTGCTAAGTCAACAAGTTGTCTGGGCTGGACTCAAACTCCTGAATCCTCCTGCCTCAGCCTCCCAGAATACTGAGATTATAAGTGTGTACCAGCACATCTGGCTAAAATATGCATATTTTAATTTGTCAGTTAAAAATTTTATAGGGTTCATGGCACCCTAATAAAGTGTGACTTCGTGTGTGTGTGTGTGTGTGTGTGTGTGTGTGTGTGTGAGAGAGAGAGAGCGAGCGAGAGAGAGAAAGAGAGAGGGAGAAAGCACAGTGCTGGGGAATTGAACCCAGGACCTCATTTGTGTTAGGCAAACACTCTACCTTTTGCTACATTCCTAGCTCTTTTAGTACTTGATTAGTTTTTGTTGTTGTTGGTTTTTTGTTTGTTTTTTATTTTGAGACAGGGTCTGGTTGTGTAGTTCAGGCTGGCCTTGAATTCACTATGTAGTCTAGGCTGGCCTTCAACTCATGGGAATCCTCCTGCTGCAACCTCCGGAGTACTGGGATTACAGGCTTGTGTCAACCATGTGTCAACCAAGGATCAGCCTCTATGATCCTTTAAATATGGGAAACAGTCTCATTGATAAATTTCCTTAAAATATTTACCTATGAAAATTTTCTCATTACTTTGCAGTTTTCTGATAGAAAGATATTGTGTTTTGTGTAGTATTTATTCAGGGTAATGGGTTTTATTTTGGCATATTGTACATGCATGTAACATACTTTGGCCATTTCCACTCCAGTAACCCTCCTTTCCTTTTTCTCTCCACCCCCGTTCCTTTCCATTTCTCTTAACAGTCTCTTTTACTTTCATGTCAAGAAAGTTTATTTTGAGGCTTATTTTCATTGTGCTTTGTAATTCATTTCTTCCATACGTCTGGCTTTACAGGAAGAAATGGACACCAGACCAAAGGTCTCTTCTCTCCTCAATCGGATGGCCAATTACACTAATCTAACACAAGGAGCAAAGGAGCATGAAGAGGCAGAAAATATCACTGAAGGGAAAAAGAAGCCAACCAAGGTGAGGCCTCAGAATAGCAAGGACCATTTAATGTCTAGGAACTATTAAATGCTTGACATATTCCTGGCAGTAGCGAGCACTGGTGTCATAGCACAAGCAGTGCCCTGGCTGTCGTGTGGGGGGACGGTCCGTAGATGGTTTTAACTCTGTAAAAATGTACATTAAGTTTTGGGAAATGCTTTAACAAATGTGTAAGCAGGATTAAAGAGACTGAGGCTGGCAAGGGAGCCAGATGGAGGGTTTTGCTGCTTCATGTAGGTTCAGCAGAGAAGGCCCCGCTGACAAGGTCATACTTGCGCAGAGGCCTCAGTGTTGTGAGGGAGGGAGTCATGGGGGAGAGCAGCATTCCAGCGAGAGGGAATAGCGGTCAGGGGTGTCCAGCAGCCATCTGCTCATGCCATCTGTCTGTTGTGAAGTTGTTGGATTACTAAAAAGAAAACACTAGTTTTTCTTAGCATGAAGATGAGACAACATATATCATTTAGCCTTCAATTGTTCAGCCCTTTAAAAACTGGCAGGATGGCCCTTGGGCTACATTTCCCCATCTGTTCTATTTGCCAGCGAATTCCGAAGGGTTTCCATCAAGTCATTCTATTTTTATTTCTTTTTTATTTTTATTTTGTGTTTGTTTTGAGACAGGGTCTTGCTATGTAGTCCAGGCTAATCTTGAACTTACTGTGTAGCCCAGGATGTCCTCAAACTCACAGCAGTCCTCCTGCCTTAGCCTCCCAAGTGCTGGGATTAGAGGGATGTGTGCCATGACACTTGGCCATTATTCTGTTTTTAAATGAAAAAGAGAAATTTCTGTCATCTTGGAAGGACAGAAAATGGTAAACATTTGTGGCCAAATGCATATGTATATAAAAAATGTGTAGGAAGCTGTGCAAAGAAAAGCTGCATAGCTCTAGGAATAGACCCATAAGCTAGAGATTTGTATGTGCTTTTTGAAGATACTGCTTAAATTTACCTTTACTTTGACATGAATATGATAATTAGGGAGTAAGTTTTTATAGAAAAGATTAAAAATTTTAAAAGAAAAAAGTAAACTGCAAAAAAAAAAAAATCTCTTTTGGATAACTATATAATTTTTTCCTCTGTCTGCATCTTTCTTTCTAGACCCCCCAAATGGGTACCTTCATGGGTGTCTACCTCCCATGTCTACAAAATATTTTTGGAGTGATCCTCTTTCTACGCCTTACATGGGTGGTGGGCACAGCTGGAGTTCTTCAGGCCTTTGCAATTGTCCTTATCTGCTGCTGCTGTGTAAGTTTTGCATTGGCTCCTAGAGATCATGTGGAACATTTTGTGTTCTCAGGAGTATATGCATTTGATATCTTTGGAAATAAAGAACATTTAGAAAGATTTATAATGTCAACAGGAGAGATGATTCTGTTATTAAAATCTAAAGGATTTTCATTTATTTAGTACCTGTTATTCAAGTACCTGCTTGCTGTCTAAGATTATATGATGTGCTAGAAAGTACAAAGCAAGACTTCAACTGGAAGTGGAAGATAAAGAATCTAAATACTTGGAGCTGGATAGCACCAGTATTGTTACAGAAAATGTATTAGAAAATGTGGTATGTTATTCCAGAATGTGTTGATAAATAGAAACTGACAGTTATTTGAGGGATGAGGCATATTTGAGTTAGATTTGGTTTGGTTTTAGTCTTTCTCTCTTAGAAATTTCAATTTTTCTTTCCATGTCTTTTCTTCCCTATACTGGGATGGATCCCAGCCATGTCTGTCATTTTTGTTATGTCTCTTTTTATTCCTGTCACCGTTTTGCTTTCCGGTATTAGCTGAGTATTTTGCAGAGCAGGTTAAGCAGACATAGTGCGTATTATAAATTAACGGTGCTCCTGTTCTATTTTGTTTTGTTTTCAGTTTCTCAGTCTTGAAAGTTTTGGTCACATCTCACATGTAATCAGCCACCAAGACCAATCCATTCTCTGTTGGAAATCTTACATTCAACCCTTCCTTTTTATTCTGACTACCATCATTGTAGGTGTTTGGTTGGTTTTTTTGGTCTTTTTTTTTTGAGACAGGGCCTCGCTGTGCAGTTCAGGCTGGCCTTGAGCTCACTTTGTAGCCCAGGCTGGTCTCGAACTTGCAATGATCCTCTTGCCTCAGCCTCCGAAGTGCTGGGATTGCTGGCGTGCTGTACCATACCCGGCACCATTGTAGTTTTTAAGCCTCTCACTGAACTATTGTAGTGGCCTACTAACCAGGCCCTCTGCCTCCAGCTGCTCCCTATTTGCAGTCCGTTCTGTACTGTGCTACTCAGTAAGTCACAGTTCTTCTACACTGAAGTTTTCACTGCTTTCGTTTATTGCTGAATGTTGTTCTTGGTTCCACAGCTAGTCTTTAGTCAGGTTCCAGTCTGTTTCCAAGTTCTCTCCCTAGTTATTCCTTTTGAGTGTGTTAGGCTTTATTTCCTGTTTAGGAGATTCAGAATGAGATCAGATGTTCTTGGGTAAGATTAGGCTCTTAGCGCCTAATCTCCAGGTTATGATATCAAGGCCATTTTGACAGTATAGACACTCTTCATTTAATGACCTACCTGTTTAACAACTGTTTGGACTTACAACTGAAGTGGGATGTTCAGACTTAATCTGCTACTCAGGCTTATGACTTGTCTTTTTTATGCAGTTCTGTACATCTTGTTTATAGAGCCTCAATATCTTTTATATAGTACTGTAACTTGTTGACTGTATTGTACAGTACTGTAGTTTTCTATTGTTATACAACACAGTACTGCATGTAAATTATATAAATAAAAGCAAAGTCATCAGGTTGGCATTTCCTTTGACCATCTCATTGTTCTGAATATTGTAATGTGCATACTATATACAGTTCTTCATTTAGCAGCCAATTCATTTAACAACCTAGTTGCAGGAATGGAATTGAGTCAATAAATGAGGAATCTCTGTATGTACAGATAATAGTAGTGTGACTAATGCAGAGTTGGACACATCATCTCATTTACATATCATTGGGAATGCCAGCAACTCCCTCCATAAAAGTAGGTACAGGTAAATGCTTAAAAAGTGCTCTGAGGTCTACAGTTAGGAGAGTAGTACAGAACTGTCAGCTTCACCTGGTAACAATAGTGTCCTTTGTCTTTTTTCACAGACAATGTTGACTGCTATCTCCATGAGTGCCATTGCCACTAATGGAGTGGTGCCAGGTGAGTAGTCCAGACTTGGATTTCAGGGATTGTCAGTGATTACTGTATATTTATAAAGCCAGAGATACAGACTTCCAAAGAACAGATTGATATTTGCTCTGTTGTTGTTGGTTGTTTTGTTTTGCTTTGCTTTGCTTAATATTGTTTTGTTCCGTTTCACTTTGAGATGTGGTCTCACTGTGTAGTTCAAGCTCGCCTCAACTAGTAGTGAGCCTCCCACATGCTAGGATTACAGGTGTGCATCACCACACCTGGCTTACTGTGTTTTATATTCAACAGAGAAACAGTCCATAGGCCTTAGAGACTAATACTACTTGTGTTTAGAGTATCTTCTTCATTTTTATTTCTTTATTTATTTGTCTTTTTGAGACAGGGTTTTGCCATGCAGTTCAGGCTGACCTTGAGCTTTGTAGCCCAGGCTGGTCTCCAACTCAACAATCCTCCTGCCTCAGCCTCCCAAGTGCTGGGATTACAGTTGTGCACCACCACACTCGGCTAGCATACCTTCTTTAAAGTCTATTTTTTTCTAGACTACAAAGCTTTATTTTTAGTCACACTTTGGCCTGTCTTAGTGTTTTCTTGTTTGTTTGTGTTTGGTACCAGGAATTGAACTCAGGACCTCACGCTTGCTAGGCAGGTGGTGTGCCACAGAGCTATATCCCCAGCCCTAGCCTGTTTTAGTTGATATATTTTATTAGGCTATCTCATGCCCATGTTAAATATTCCCATTCCTGGTAAAATGTACTGCTTATTATAGAGCATTAGATATAACATAATACAAGTTTCATCTTCTACTTCCCACTAGTAATCTACTTGTTAACACATTCAGGATTTTCAAAAGCCTGACACGTTTATCCTCTATGCATATGTTGTTTATTCTTACTTATGACTTGCTCACATTCCTGTTCCTAATAACTGTTTATCCTACTCACCTTCTATTTTGTCTTCTAGCTGGAGGCTCTTACTTTATGATTTCCCGGGCACTGGGTCCAGAGTTTGGTGGAGCTGTTGGCCTCTGCTTTTATCTTGGTACCACATTTGCAGCAGCCATGTATATCCTTGGTGCCATTGAAATTTTTCTGGTGAGTAACAACTTAATTGCAGTCTACATAGAAGAGATACGGATTTAGGTCTGTTTTGTTCTTTGATATCAAAGTTTCTGAGAGGTCAGCTGTAGAAATCAATGCAGTGATTGCTGACCTGTTACTAGGCTCTTAATTTAGTGAGACAGAAAGATTGCGGTCCTTTTTCTGTCCCTTCCTCTTCCCCTTCACTTGATTGCTGCCACTCTACCAGTTCAACTAAGTAACAGTCTTGGAAAGCAAGATCTGAGCCTACGGGGTGGGGGTGGGGTGTAAAATAAACCTTGTCTTTTTTGATGTCTTTATCCCAGTGAAATAAAATGTATTCCATTTCTCTATTCATTGGGATATATTCTTTACTATTTAAAGTGATGATGGAAGGGCTAAGCTAATTATCATTATTATCATATACATCCCTTTGACTAAAAATATTTATTCCTTTTGTTTTCACTTGGGAATGTAGTTATTCAGAATAGCAAATAGGAAAAAAAATTCATGGTATCTCGTTTCTGTAGGTATTCCAGATCCAAATAGGAATTAGGCTAATTCTCTAGTCATTTTTCTGTTTCAGCTTTGTTTTCCTTCATGAAAGCAGATAAAAATTATTGCAGCCCCTTTTATTTGATTATTTTGAAATGACCATTTTTTGTTGTTCTAACAGGTGTACATTGTGCCCCGGGCTGCCATCTTTCACAGCGATGATGCCCTTAAGGAATCAGCAGCCATGCTAAATAACATGCGAGTGTATGGCACAGCCTTCTTGGTCCTCATGGTGTTGGTGGTATTCATCGGTGTGCGCTATGTGAATAAGTTTGCCTCACTTTTCCTGGCCTGTGTCATTGTATCGATCTTGGCAATCTATGCTGGAGCCATCAAGTCTTCTTTTGCACCCCCACATTTCCCGTACGTGACTGTCTCTTGGCCTCGTTATTAGGGAGTCACTCACAGTATCTGGTGGTATGATAATTTCAATCAGACTTTGATGAGTCTAATATTTTGCGATTGGTCCAGTTATCTGATTTTTTTTTTTTTTATTTGGTAGTGGGAATGAAACTTAGGGCCTCACACTTGCCAGGCAGGTGCTGTGCCACTGAGCTAAATCCCCAGCCCTTTTAGCTCAGCGGCACAGCGCTTGCCTGGCAAGCACAAGGTTGTGAGTTTGATTCCCAGTAATGGAAAAAAAAAAAAAAATACCCAGCCCTGGCCCAGTTATCTGGTAATGGCGAACAAGAACATGAACTCTTATTTTCCTAATGCCTGTCCAGCATTTTTTATGTTATGCTATATAGCATCAATAATAGATTCTATCATAGATGTTTAGTCTGCTTATCTGTAATATAGCTGAAGATCTTTTTAGGGTCATGCAAGCTCTAAAAGCAATATTTTGGCTGTATCTCAATTTGGAAAATTCCATGCCTTGAGTTTTCTTTGTTGACGGAGGACAAAGCCATAAGGCATGGTATTTTCTTTAAAGTATTCCAGGAAAATAAGACAAAAGCTTAAAAAAATACATGAAACAAAACTGGGAACTGTTGAAAGTCATTGACGCTGAGTAATAGAAACATGATTCATTATGTATGTGTGTAATCGTTCTGAAGATTTTAAAAGTTGCTTTGTTCTACCTAAGAACAAAGAGGTATTTTAACTATGGGTGTATTATCCTTTTGTTTGTATTTAGGTCTTTGGATAGAACACAACTAAAATTAGAAAAATCCCAGTGAAATAAAAGAATATTTGTATTATTCTTTAATACCTTCATTCCCACTGGGTCTAGGCTTACGTAGAAGAACGATTTTGTTTTAGTGGGATGTTTTTTTAATTCTAGCCAAGCTGTCTTCCTCACAACAGTAACCAAAAGGCTTAACATAATAATTCCAAGGTGGTATTATGAGTTTAAGGCTTTTCTAGGCCAAAAAAATAGGGACTATTTTTTTTAATAAGAATCACAGGACTCCAGGATTATTTTGACCTAATAGTTGATTAGTAGCCTGTTTTTGGAAAATGAGTCAGCATACAGTCTTCTGATAATTCTTGTGTTTGAATTCTATCACTGTCATGTACCATCAGAATGATCTTGGACGGAATATTATATTTCCCTAAAGTTTAGTTCTTCCATCCACAAAATAAAAAATGCTAATGCACTATGAAATCGCTGTAAGGGTTAAATTGGCAGAATATGTGTGTCACCACTCACAGTGCCAGTCAGTAAATACTAGTTCCTTTCCTATCTATGACAGAAGCTCTTAGAGAGGAGATCATTTTGCTCCTTTACTATCCTATTTCCTTTTTTAAAAATATATTTTCTTTTTCTTGCTTAATCTTTCCCCTTTTTTATTTCCACTTAGGGTCTGCATGCTGGGTAACCGCACTCTTTCATCAAGACACATTGACGTTTGTTCCAAGACCAAGGAAATTAACAACATGACAGTACCATCAAAGTTATGGGGCTTTTTCTGTAACTCCAGTCAGTTTTTCAATGCCACCTGTGATGAGTACTTTGTTCACAATAATGTCACGTCAATCCAGGGCATTCCTGGTTTGGCTAGTGGTATCATTACAGGTGAGTTGAGGGTTTTTTATTCCTTTGTAAGGAAATAGGATCCCCCATCTTAGACTCTTCTCGGTCATGAAAATGTACTGCCATGGTGCTACTTCCTTTCTTAAGCTTAGTACACGGCACAATTATTCAGCATCCCTTGTAGTGTTAGCCTGTTAAAATTTACCTCCTTTGAGAACAGCAGAGCTAGAATAAGATAAAATAGTTTCTATAGTCTGTCCCTCTCTCCCTTCCACACCTTTCTATTTTGAGACAGTGTCGTCCTTCATTGCCCAGGCTGGCCTCTAATTCCTGGGTTCAAATGATCTTCCCACCTCATCCTATTGAGTAGCTGGGACTGGACATGCACCACCATAGCCAAATTTATGTGTTCTTAAAAAATTGCGAATGTTATTCCTGAAATGACAAGTAAAATAGAACTGTTTCAGTGTCATCACATTCACACATATTTTTCTAATTCAACTAAATTTCTGAAATTCTTTCCTAAGTGACATTAGTCTTAAATGTTTGATCCACAAATTTCTTTACACATTAAGCAAGTCCACATTCAGGTATTAAAATAGTATAGATGACTAGTAAAAAGTAATAGACTGCTACTGGGCGTGGTGGCACATACCTGTAATCCCAGCACTCGGGAGGCTGAGGCAGGAGGATGGTTGTGAGTTTGAGGCCAGCCTGGGCTGCAAAGTGAGTTCAAGACCAGCCTGACCTGCATAGCAAGACCCTGTCTCAAAAAGACCAAAAAAAAAAAAAAAGTAATAGGCTTTGAGAGACATTCTGGCTAACTTTTACTATTTATATTAGAAAAGTTAACTGTATTTGTTGTACTAAAACATCTTGTCAAATTATCTTTAAAATGAAGAAAGACATTTTTATTTATGTGTTTTATTGCACAATACATATGTGTATATATGTATTCATGTTGACACAAACAGTCCTTTAAAAACTGTTATTATAAGTGTCTAGAATTGTGGCAAACTGGGAGAGTACTTGCCTAGCATATGCAAGGCTCTGTGTATGATCTCAAGCAAAACAAAAAATAAAAACTATGTCAAAAAGTGGTCTGATTTTAAATGTTTTTTGGGTATGAAATTAGTTTATTGAGCTGGGCATGGTGGTGCACAAAGGAGGCTGAGGCAAGAAGATCATTGTAAGTTCAAGACCAGCCTGGGCTACAAAGTGAACTCAAGGCCAACCTGAACTGCATAGCGAGGCCCTGTCTCAAAAAAACAAAAAAAGAAAGAAATTAGTTTATTAATATTTGCATTTTGAGACAGGATCTTGCTGTGTAGTTCACTCTGCCATGAACTCACAATACAACCCAGCCTGGCCTCAAACTCACAGCAGTTCTCCTGCCTCAGCCTCCCCAGTGCTGGAATTACAGATGTGTGTCACTATACCTGGCTAACTAGTTGTATTTTTACTATACTTTTTTTTATTATATTCTGTTTCCTTCTGCAGAGAACCTTTGGAGTAATTATCTACCTAAGGGAGAGATCATTGAAAAGCCCTCAGCCAAATCATCTGATGTCCTGGGAAACTTAAATCATGAATATGTTCTAGTTGATATTACCACCTCTTTCACTCTTCTGGTGGGGATATTCTTTCCCTCTGTCACAGGTAAGTGGCAGTGCTGATGTGTCTGTTTTATTTTATTTTATTTTATTTTATTTTGTTTTATTTTATTTTATTTTTAATTTATTTATTTATTTTGTCTTTTTGAGGCAGGTTCTCCCTAGGCAGTTCAGGCTGGCCTTGAGCTCACTTTGTAGCCCAGGCTGGTCTCGAACTTGCAGTGATCCTCCTGCCTCAGCCTCCTGAGAGCTGGGATTATAGGGATACGCCACCACGCCCAGCTGATGTGTCTATTTTAGAAGATCTCAGACCCACGGAGTTATTTTTTTCAGGAGACAGAATTATACTCTCAGAGTTCTTAGATTTACCTTTAGCCTTCAGTATCAGTATAAACATCAAAGTGTCCAGGAACTCAAGAAGTTAACTTTGTTTTTTCCCCTTCTCTGAAGGTATCATGGCTGGATCAAATAGATCTGGAGATCTGAAAGATGCTCAGAAGTCTATTCCCATTGGAACAATCCTTGCCATCCTGACCACGTCCTTTGTCTGTATCCTTTCAGGGATGCGGCCTGAGTCGACATTACAGGAACATCTAGTAGAACTAGGTTGACCCATGTTTTAGTAAAGGTTTTTCTCTACCATCTTCTTGGAAGATACTCTGCCCATTTCATATACAAAATTCAAGTAAGATTTTTGTAGGATTAGGGAACTTAGTGATTTACTTTAATGATAGGAGAATTTCTGATTCTTTATGTTGTCTGATGTTGGAGGGTAAACGCAGTTTCCTTGACCTCAGTATGGTAGATTTAAGCAATGTTGTCCTTTTTGGTGCATGTATTGAAGGGGTTGTTCTCAGAGACAAGTGAGTAGTTACACTCTTTGTGTGATTTCCATGACATACGATCATCCAAAATGGCTCTAAGACAGTTATGCTCTCAAAAACCCAGTCTAAGGTAACAGTGATTGACTAATAATTAGAAAATTCATGTACTGAGATGGGGTGTGGCTCAGTGACAGAGCACCTGCACAGCATGTGCCAGGCCCTAGGTTTGATACCCGGCACAGTACCCTGCACGGTAGGAAGGGAGGGAGGGAGGAAGAGGAAAGGAAAGGAAGAAAGAAAAGGGGAAAGAGAAAGAAAAGGAGAAGAAGGTAAGGATAAATATAAATGTATATAATTCCCTTTAAGAATAGTGAATAATAGGGACCAGTGTGTTGCTATAAATGTGTGAACCATAGTGAATGTAGAACTTTTAAAAAGCAGCAAATTTGTCTGAATAATAAGTACTTCCCTGTACACCAAGAACTATTGGAGAGCTAGACCAAAAGTGAAGGAAGGCAAGTAAAAACACCAAGAAACAAAAGTTGAGGTTGAATACCCACATATGTATGACCCAGCCATTCTATTTCAAGGTATATCCAATAAATATTTGTACGCATGCTTTAAGAATCATGCACAAGGATTCTCACAGTAGTAGTACTCCCAAATAGTCAAGATTTGGAAATAACTAAATATCCATTAGTAGTAGAATGAGTACATTATGTATTCATGCAATGAAAGACTACACAACAATAAAAATAAATGAACCATAGTGATAAAAGAAAAAGAATTTTACAATGCTAAGAGAAACCAAATACGAGATGTATATATTGCTTTTCATTTATATAAAGTTTTAAAATAAATAAGAAAACATAGTATTAGAAAGCAATATAAGGGGCTGGGGATTTAGCTCCGCGGCACAGTGCCTGCCTGGTAAGCGCAAGGTCGTGAGTTTGATTCCTGGTACCGGAAAAAAAAAAAAAAGCAATATAGTAGTGGAGAGGAAGAAAAGATACAGAGGATAGTAGAGTGACTGGGAGGAGGTATAAGAGAATTTTGGGTGCTGGTAGTGTTCTGCTAGTTGATCTGCATAATAGTTACATGGGTATTTGCTTTGTAGAAATTTATTGATATGTACATTTGTTTTTTGCACTTTTTACATACTTTAAAAAGTATTTAAACAATTCACAGAGCTAATTAGCAGTGACTTAAATGTTTAATAGTCATGATTTACGTGGCATGTGTGTGTGCCATAAGTCTTGAATCCTCATATACTTCCAGTGAGAGCAGAATTTATTATAAATTTCTGTTTGGAATGATTTGAAAATGTTTTACCATATTGATCCTTTTTTAAAACAGTTATTACCTCTTAGGAATCTGCCTAAGAAAATCTGATGTGTCAGTATATATAAAGATGGTAATTGTAGGTCAGCCGTGATGGCACACACACCTGTAATCCCAGTTCTCTGGGAGGCTCGGGCATGAAGATAGAACGTTCAAGCACAGCCTTAGCACCTTCATGCCTTAACAAGACACTGTCTGAAAATTTGAAAAAGGGCTGGCTGGGAATGTAACTCATTTCAGAGATCCTGGGTTCAATCCCTAGTAACACACACACGTTAATTACAGTGACAAATGGGTAATGTAAACTGTGATACAGGATTATTCAAAGCGCTAAATTTTTATTCATGGTTTTTCATAATAGAAAAATGCATATACTTAAAAAGAATACAGAATTATAAATGTAGTCAACTCATCCAGGTTTTTAAAAAAATAGTAAATAAACTAAGATACGCCAGGTATATACAATGTTAAGATTTGGGGTTTCCTTTTTTATTTTTTGTGCTTTCTAGTTTTTCCCTAAAAGCAGATTATTTTGGTAATCTGAAGGAGGAAGCTGTAACTAAAGCTTAGTTTATTTTCTGGTTCTAGGTTGTCTTTTCTTAATAGGGGTCATCAATGCTTTGTTTTTGTTTTTTGGTGATCTTTGCACTGTGGTATAATCCTAATCTTTCTTATTCTTTTTTCTTTTTTTTAAAATGAGGTTTCCCTAAATCATAAAGTTGTCCAGGCTGGATTTGAACTTGTGATCTTTGTGCCTCAGCCTCCCAGAGTGCTGAGGTGATAGGCTTGCGCTGTCATCTCCAGCCAATGCCTTTTTTTTTTTTTTTTTTTGCTGATGCTGCTGGAGACTGGACCCAGGGTCTTCCATGTGCTAGGCGAGTGCTCTACCACTGAGCTACATGCCTGGACTGTTGGCTTTTAATCAGAGCTATCTACCTTTACCTTTCTTAGTATTCATGTCTACCTCAATGTTAATTCTCTAAAAATTATAAACAGAGAAAAGGTGAAATGTCTTTCTGTTATTTCAGTGTTAAGGTATTTACAGATTACATTTCCTTGCTGCTTATTTCTTTCTTAGGTTTGGGGATGCAGTGAAAGGTAACTTGGTGGTGGGGACCTTGTCTTGGCCATCCCCATGGGTGATTGTCATTGGCTCCTTCTTTTCAACATGTGGGGCTGGACTTCAGAGCCTCACAGGTGCACCAAGGCTGTTGCAGGCTATTGCCAAGGATAACATCATACCATTCCTGAGGGTGAGTGACATCCTCTTTCTTTCTGTGACATTCTCTTTTTTCCCAGGTTTTAGGAGAAACAGTGTGGTCATAAATACAGAAACAGGTAGGTTTTTAACAGAGAACCATCTAATTCACCAATATGAGTTTATGTATAATTGTGGTAAAGGTGTTTAAAAGATAGTGCTGTTGTAGCATTATTATTTTTATAGTCATCTTTTTTTAATAGTCCTCACTTTTTATTTTTCATTTTTATTTTTTGTCTTTTGAGACAGGGTCTTGCTATGCAGTTCAGGCTGGCCTTGAGCTCACTTTGTAGCCCAGGCTGGCCTGGAACTTGCAACGATCCTACTGCCTCAGCCTCCCAAGTGATGGGATTACAGGCGTGTGCCACCATGCCAGGCTAGCATTATTATTTTTCAGATTGTGAAACTGTAGGTTAAAAGAATCAAGAGCACATTTACTCAGTATAAGCCTGGTATTTTCCCTCTTGTGTACAGGTTTTCGGTCACAGCAAGGCCAATGGGGAACCTACCTGGGCTTTACTTCTGACTGCTGCCATTGCAGAGCTGGGAATTCTTATTGCCTCCTTGGATCTTGTGGCCCCAATTCTATCCATGTAAGAGCCAGTTATTATCTTTAATTATTCTTACTTATATGATACATAACGCATGATTTCCATCAGTCATATAACAGTAGTGATAATGACAGAGTAAGTCAAATGCAGGTTTAACTTCACTTAAGGGATAATGAACATTCCAGAGAACTTTCCTGTAGAGCTGACTTACCCAAAGGCCTTACATATGCAGTGCTTTACTGCTGAGCTGCACCTCAGCCTCACCTTCTTTTCTGATTCATTATTAATTGGTTGTTAGCTTTTATTCACTCACCTCTGACTTATTCATGACGTATTATCAACCTGACACTATATAATGTACTGAGAATACAATGGATAAGATGGATAAGGCACAGCCTTAAAGAGCTGACGACAAGGAAACCTCACGATCCACACCTGGTGATGAGGGCCATGGTAGCGTTGAGTGCTGGGTGGGATAGTTCTTAAAGTGAGGCATGTAAGTAACCTGGGACTCTGGAGAGATTTACTGTAGGAGGTGACAGTTGTGTCTTGAAGGATGACTAATTGTTTGCTAAGCAAATAAGAGGTGAAGAATGTTCTAGGCAGTGGGTATGTGTAACAGAGTTGAGAAATGAAGTTTGGCTTGGTTGTGGTGGCAAGTGCATGCTGGGTGAGTTGGCAGGCCAGAGAAGTAGAGCCAGATCACAAATGACCTGGTCTTTTATTTGGAAACAGTGCATAATCCTTTGAATACAAAATTATGTTGTTATGTTTATGTTGTAGAATGATCCAGTTATAAAGTGATACAGAAAAGTGGAATAAGAGGGTGAAGATTCAGATGAGAACCAAATGTTGAAATAGAAAAATAATTGTATCAAAAACCCTGAATGGGACGGGGGAGTAGGAGAGGGACAAGGGGTAGGAAGTGGAAGGAGGAAGGAGAGAACATAATGTATTACAACTCAAGTTACAAAATTGAGCTGGGAATGCTAACTAGGAAGAAAAAGTGAGAGCCTGAATGAAGGTGACAGTAGTAGAGAGGAAAAAAAAGAAAAGAAGTTTAGAAATTTACCCACTCCCCCAGTACTGGGGTTTGAACCCAGGGTCCTCGTTCAGAGCTACATAACCAACCCCTTCCTCCTTTTTGTTTCTGTTTTGATTTGGTTTTGAGTTTTGGGTTTTTGAGGCAGGGTCTCACTATTCAGGCTGGCCTTGAACTCACTATGTAGCCCAGGCTGGCCTTGAACTCACAGCAGTCCTCCTGCCTCAGCCTCCTGAGTGCTGAGATTACAAGTGTGCAACACCACACCCAGCTGCTTGGTTTTTTGAGACAGGGACTTACTAAGTTGTGCGAGCTGGGCTCCAACTTGTAGTTCTCCTTCCAAGAATGCTGAATTTACAGACGTGTGCCACCACACTTTTTTTTTGGTGGTGGTGGTGGTGCTGCGTATTAAATCCAAGACTCATGCATGCTAGGCGAGTGCTCTTGCTGCACCCCCAAACCAGATTTTAAATAGGTAGAATCTCATAGGCCCTCATAAGTGAATTTGGAACAAAGCTGAGTAAGGAAGAAGAAACCTGGGTTATCCCATAAACAGCTGGGTAGAATAATTGTGTCATCAACTGAGAGCGAACATAGGATGAGTGCATTTGTGGGAAGAGGTTTAAATTTCTCTGCTTATTTACTCAAGGGCTAGTGGTCTGGAAGTGGGCTCCATTATGGCAGAAGTCTCTAGTTATTTAAAATAACCCTCAAGGGATCATTTTACAGTGATCATTGTTCTCACAGGGGTTTTGTTTGTTTTGTTTTGTTTTTACGGTGCTGAAGATGCAACCCAGGGCCTCACAGATGCTAGGCAACTTCTCTACCACTGAACTACATCCCTAGCCCTTACTCTTTTTCTCTTTTTGTGCTTCAGGTTTTTCCTCATGTGTTACCTCTTTGTGAACTTGGCGTGTGCTTTGCAGACATTACTTCGAACACCCAACTGGAGACCCCGATTCCGCTACTACCACTGGTGAGTCCACCTCCTCCTGCCCCCTCTCCCATGCTCTCTCCTTCCTCCTCCCACTTCCTACCCCTTGTCCCTCTCCTACTCCCACGTCCCATTCAGGGTTTTTGATACAGTTGTTTCTCTATTTCAACATTTGGTTCTCATCTGAATCTTCACCCTCTTATTCCACTTTTCTATATCAGTTATAATAACCTGTAATACCCACTAAGAATAAAAATCAAAACTATGATATATTTCCAACCTCCTTCATTTTTTCTTTTTCTTTTTGGTGGTAGTGCAGATTGAACTCAGGGATGATCTACCATTGTACATCTCCAGCTTTTAAAAGAAATTTTATTCTGAGATGAGATCACACAAAATTGTCCAAGCAGGCCTCAAACTTGCAATCCTCCTGCTTCAGCCTCTCTCAGTGCTGGGTACAGCACCATGCCCAGTTTAGCCTGCTTCATTCTTCAGGTTAAAACAGTGTTCCCTTTGCATATCTATTTTCCTCTTTCCCTCTTAGATAAGCAGTAGAATTCATCCCTTTTTACTTTTACTCTGATATCCTCATCAGTTTTCATTCTTACACTCTTGTCCTTAGAATTTCATTTAGTAGGTAAAAAGGGAGCTATGGTAGCAGACAACCCAAGTTAATATCTTGTCTAACTACTGTCTTTATAACCTTCAGCAGAGCACATAGTCATGTAAAATTCCATTTTATTCATTTCTAAAAAAGGACTCACAAATCTGAAGTGCTTAGTAGAGTGCCTGGCATATTAGTAAAGCTCTCAGTGAAATGCTACTGTTGCTGCTGCTGCTGCTATTGTAGAATTAAGCCTCCGTAGTCCTGATGGCCCAAAAAATTTGGATTTTTTGGGCCACTATACCAGCAATTTCCCATGTCTTTTCTCTCATAAACTTAGAGTTCCTTAACTAGGTCCTATATGCACCTATCCCTTGGTACCTTCCTCTTCGCTAACTTCCCTTGATTCTTTACTGCCTTCACTTAGCAATGATGGGGAGTGATGGGCCCTTTACCTCACAGAAATTTATACCTTCAACTGGTTTTAACACCTCTAATCTTCTGTCTTTAACTTTCTTTAAAAATTCACTATGAATATTTTGTGTTTGCTTCTATTATATTTTCTTATTTTTATTAGATTCTAATCTTCAGATTAACAGCTCTCCTACTCATGCCTTAAAATTCATCACAGAGCTCAGAAGTTCATTTGATACACAGAAGAATTTCAGTAAATGCAGTTGCCTATCCAATTTTTTATTTGACTTAAAAAAACCATTTCATCATCTTACAAAGTTTCTCTTTTATAGTAGTTTGTAAGAAAACTAATGGCAGCGTTTTCTCAGTGAGTTCTGTGCTTATACTAATTAAATATTCATGAAATTTGGGGAAATATTTATCTGAAAAAAGTTAAAGATTATAGAGTTGTTAACATTCCTGACTGTACATTCAATCCGTGCTTTTCCAGGCTATTCTTAATCATCCTCATAACTACAGATAACTTTTGTGTAGCACCCTTGTTCATTAACATTGGTGGAAAGCATCTGCTATTACAAAGGGTGCTTTGGGCTCAGTATGTATCTACTGACTGTTGCCAGTCCATGACAAGACGACTGTGAAACTGAGAATAAACATTTAGAAACTTGTCCAGATAGTCAGCATTGCCACACACCTGAAGGTGGCTGGGCACTTGGCTAGCTTGGGCGAGGCCCTACACTCACTGCTAACAACACTAGCATGGCTAAAAACCAATACAGAGCTGGGCATGGTGGCTCATACCTATAATCTTAGCACCTTTAGCACATTTTCTTACTTTTACCATTTAGACTTTCTTTTATATTTTTGTTTTTAATTTTCTAGGGCCCTGTCTTTCATGGGGATGAGTATCTGTCTGGCTCTGATGTTCATTTCTTCCTGGTATTATGCCATAGTAGCAATGGTAATAGCTGGTATGATCTACAAGTACATTGAGTACCAGGGGTGAGTGTGGATTTCACCTTGATCACTGCTAAAATTTTCAGGACTAATTTTTTATATACAGTTTAATGAAAATTACATTAAAGACCCAGATAACTTCATTTGTCTATAACAACATTCTGCACCCTGAAGTCCCTTAACCATCTTACAAATTTTTCATCACAAGGGAGAACCTGTTAAGAAACTATGCATAGGTCATGAAAAGTAGCTAAAAGGATATATGTAAATAATAATGATCAGTACTAAACAAAGTGCAATACAATACAAATATTTTTGCTAATCTCTTCAATCAAGGTATTTTTTAACTGCATAAAAATGAAATTAGTCCTGAATAATTTTGTAACAACTAAACTAGCTGGGTGTGGTGGCACACACCTGCAATCCCAACACTCAGGAGGCTGAGACAGAAGGATCGTGGTGAGTTCGAGGCCAGCCTGGGCTACATAAATGCGTTCAAGGCCAGCCTGCACTACATAGTGAGACCCTGTCTCAGTCCCCTCCTCCCAAAAAAAACAAGTAAGACCTCATAGCTTCCACAAATGCAGGATAAATAACATTCAGAAGATTACACTGAATTTTACTTTTCCCCATTATTTTTAAAATAACTTAAATTGGGGTCTTTAATAATTTTCTAATACAAATCGCTATTTTACATTGTTGCTTTTGCATAAATATATAAGACTGAGTGAGCGACCCTTCCAACTTTTATTCTGAAGTGTTTGTATAGTACAGTCTGTTGGTACATGGTGGGGTTCACCTGGCTCCCGGTGGGCTCGTTATGTTAGTAACATATACATCATTAATACGAGTTTAAACTTCTACCTTGTGTATATGTTACTTTTACTTTTTAAAGTAAGCTTTTTTTGAAATCATGCTTACTGTATTTTAAACCTGTCTCTGCTCTTTTCTCCTCTTTCTCCCAGAGCTGAGAAAGAATGGGGTGATGGCATCCGTGGGCTGTCACTCAGTGCAGCCAGGTTTGCTTTGCTTCGGCTGGAGGAGGGACCTCCACACACTAAGAACTGGAGGTAAAGAAGTCACTCCATAGAGCTTAGTGGTGTTCAGCACAGAGTTAATACCTGGAAACCTGTGCTTTGTTGATTACTGGATAAGGAAATCATGCAGCTCAAGGGAATGTGTGATGGACCTGTTTGAACTATCCTAAATCCTTACTGCCTTTTCTTCTGAGATTTGTGAATTAGATTTCTGTCATTTGTTGTTTTTCCTTGAAGAATGATCAATTTGAGCATTCAGAATAATTCAGTACCCTCATGCAGTCGTTTCTCTGCTCTCTTTCTTCTGTCAAATTATGTTTTATACAGTTACCCTGAATCAAAGGATGAAATTGTCATTGTTTCTGTAACCCAAAGTGTTTCTTCCTCTCTACCCTAACCTTGTCACAGGCCTCAGCTGCTTGTGTTGCTGAAGCTCGATGAAGACTTACATGTCAAGCATCCTCGCCTCCTTACATTCGCATCACAGCTGAAAGCAGGAAAGGGTCTCACTATTGTGGGCTCTGTCATCGTGGGGAATTTCCTGGAGAACTATGGTGAAGCTTTAGCTGCTGAGCAGGTAAGAGTCCAGATTTAATTGACTGAATGAGCCAGTTACAGTTTTGTGACAGGCAGTAATACGATTCGTTCTTTTAATTCCTTTTCTGTGTGATCTAAGAGGTTTCTTACTTGGTGCTGACTTCTGAATAGTTATATTCTCCCAAATAATAAGATGAGCCAGAAAAGACTTCTTCATTCTTCTCATTTAAAGCATTACTAAGCTGTAAGATTGTCAAGGCTACACATTATTTCCAAATAGATTCTGAACATTCCTCTGACCACTGATAGAAGTCATACAAATTAATCTATCCTTTGAACTATGGGGTGGATGCCAAGGAACAAATGTTTTTCCTCTTTACTAACTTACATGATATCATGAGCAAGATTCCTTTGCTATTTCCGATTAGCTGAACATTAAAGTTCTACTTGAAGGAAGTCATTTTACTCTGATAATTATCATAACTGATAGAACTAATCCTTATATTTGGAGAAATTTTTAATTGTATTTTAAAATTTTTACTGAATTTCATTTTGAAATGCTTTGAAACCTTCAGTACTAGAATGCTGAGAAAAATGAGTGTGGAATTATGGTAAGAATTAATAAAAACAGCACAAGATTGCAAATCAAGGTTCTTATCCTAGCTATACCACTGACTCAATCTGTGCCTTGGAGAAAATCAGATACATTTTCCACATCATTATTGCCTTTTCCTTTTCCAAGAGGGTAGAGTAAATGAGATATTATCTGACTAAATAATAGTAAGCAAATATGAATATCGTAAATAATCACATTTAAAATTTTAAAAAGGATTCAAGAATGAAAGAAGCAAAAAGGAAACCTCTCAAATGCTAATATGGAATGGAATCATCACCTTGAATGTTTTGGACGATAGGTCAGCATGTGACCAGGGCTGAGGAAGGAAGGAGATTGTGTTCACACCAGTAAACTCCCACTGGTCAGTGAAGAAAGTATGTCAGGTATTCTCTATGTGGAGATTCCTGTTCTTAGTTTTTAGGTATGTTTCAAAGGAAGAAAAACAGAATAGAAAGGCAGAGAAACTGCATGTAGACAACCATCTGTAGATGTAAAAAATATGAAGTAAGTACTTAGAAAGTGAAAAAGACAAGCTGGGTTTGGTAGACCATGCCTGTAGTCCCATTACTTGGGAGGCTGAGGCAGGAAGATCACAAGTTTGAGGCCAGTGTGGGCTAGTGAGACCTTCTCTGAAAAAAGAAAGAAAAATGAAAGATGAATGTGGATGACATTGCATTGGAACTATTTTAATCATTTGGACTTTCGGAGATTGAGTTTTACACAGAGTTTAAAAAGAGATAGGATGCCAGGCATGGTGGCGCACACCTGTAATCCTCGCACTTAGGGAGGCTGAGGCAGGAGGATTGCTGTGAGTTTGAGGCCAGCCTGGGCTACAAAGTGAGTTGAAGGCCGGCCTGAACTGCATAGTGAGACCCTGTCTCAAAAAAGAGAAAAGAGATAAGGAGTATAATATGGAGGAAGAATGATGAGTTAAAAGGTCCAGGGCAAAGCGATTCATTGTCAAGGTTCTCTGTCTCTTTCAGACCATTAAGCATCTAATGGAAGCAGAGAAGGTAAAAGGATTCAGCCAGCTGGTGGTTGCTGCCAAACTCCGAGAGGGCATTTCCCACCTCATCCAGTCCTGTGGCCTTGGGGGCATGAAGCACAACACAGTGGTGATGGGCTGGCCTAATGGCTGGCGTCAGAGTGAAGATGCCCGCGCTTGGAAAACTTTTATTGGTACAAACTTTTCCCTAAATAACCTGAGACCCCAAATAGAGACAGAGTTAAATCTCTGTCACCCTGACCTCACTCTCAGCCTCCTAAAATAGGGGTGATGCCATCATTGAAACGTAATCTTATAAATTAGTTGTAATAACCTGATTTTACTCAGCCTCTCCAGCTTTTTACATTTATGTTCACAAACTGCCAGGTCTTATCCTAGGAATTATCTCCTAATTTTCCATATTTTCACTTAACGATTTTTCATATGGATATCATCACAGGAATTAGGATTGTCCTTCAGCATCCAGATCTCCCAAATATACATATCCCCCTAGAAATGTAGTAATCAGAGTGTGTATAGTAAGGACCGTGGTTCTCAGCCCACTTCTGTTAGCTGTTCAGACTGTTCTCCCTGAATTTTTGACTTAGTGAGGTATTGGTGCTGTGTAAATAAGACACCTTCCTCAAACAAATACAAGAGTGTTTTCCTTGCTTTCCTAACTTGGTGGGAAGTAAAGCAAGCCTAAAGATTCTTGTTTGCTTATGCAAATCTCTTTTTCTCCCTAGGCACAGTTCGTGTGACAACTGCTGCTCATCTCGCTCTGTTGGTGGCTAAAAATGTCTCCTTCTTTCCCAGTAATGTGGAGCAGTTTTCTGAGGGCAACATTGATGTGTGGTGGATTGTGCATGATGGGGGGATGCTCATGCTATTACCATTCCTGCTGAAACAGCACAAGGTATTTTAGACTATTTTTATTGCTTGAAGGACTGTTACATTTACTATAAGGTTAAAAATAGTGTTTACATACATAGTGGCTTTATTGTTTTATATTTATTGCATAACATGAACACCGAAATAGTAATGTGACCAAAACAAAGTCTAGGCCAGAGACAGTGCAAGTTTTAGCTCACAAGCCACCTAAAGTATCACCTGGAATAACATGCTGAAGTGTACATCCAACTGGCTCATCAAGATTGAGGGGTTTAATTTAGTGACTGCTGCAATACAAGTCTATACCACTTGTCCCCAGAAAGCACCAGGCCTCTGCCAGCACGTTCTTATGGAAGTATGTGAAATGTGCTTATAAATCTTGAATCTCTTAAAGCACAAGACCAGAGCACACATCTCTAAAATAAAATCTAACGCTGAGTTGGAGTGATTTGAGGGACTTAATCCTCCAGAGAGCTGAAGTACTCAAGTTTGAATGTACAGCTTCATCATGCTCCAGCTATGAGCTTTAACTAAAAACAAAACAAAACAAAATAAAAAAACATGGACCAAGAAACAGTTTTAAAGCAGTGGATGAGGCGGTAACAGAAGTATACAATGAATAGAACAACAGCAGAAAGTAGAAATAAGGCAACATGAAACACTTGTAATGAAGACTTCAGCTGTAATTAGAGGTGGCTGTGTCAAATTTGCTAAGGGGAAGTGTTATAGCTTGGGGTTTTGCAAGGGGAACAATACAGAACACATAATTTATAGGATTATTTTGTAATAGTCACCCAATGAGGCATATACAAGGAGAGTGCAAGAAATCTGTCCACACACTAAGACCAAAAGAATCTAGCTGAGGGCCTGGATCCCACAGCAGTGACCTACATGAGGCCAGCTAAAGACCTAGAGCCCATAACAGTGCCCCCCACAAATCCAACTGGAGGCCAAGAACCCACGACAGTGTCTCATGCAGACCTGTTTCACAATCTGCACTGGGAAGGCCCAAAGGTCAGTGGTAGAAGCTAGAAAGTGTGTGCCAGTGTGATGCAGGATCTATGCCAGCAGGCTGAGGGATATGAACTAGAGCCAGGAAGCAATGCTCAAAGTAAGAACCAGAGCTCCCCCAAAAAGTACCACAGCCATCCTCAGCAACAGTGAGGTCCTAAGCTCCTCCAATGATGAGAACAGCTGAGCTCCTACCAGGAAAGCCAACTTGACAAGCTTCTGGAGACTGAGCAGTGCACCATCTTCCCCTCCAGAGTCACGAAGCAATGCTCAAAGAGAGGACCAGAACTCCCCCAAAGTAAACCATAGCCATTCTTAGCGACAACAAGGTCCCGAGCTCCTTTGATGATGAGAACAGCCAAGTTCATGATGAAAGCCAGTATGATGAGCTCCTCCAAGAGAACCAACAGCTCCCTAACAGGTTCACTTCTTCCTCTCCAGTTCTTCCTGTAATGCTGCTGGCAACAATCCTCAGCTGGGCCTCCCACACCTAGCACCACAATGGTTCAGTTCAGCTTAGGTGTTACAAGTTGACCACCAGTTGTCAATCCACCACAGGAAGTAAACTTTCTAACTGCAGGGACATAATGAAGACTAAGCTCCATGCTACTGGAAAGAAATGGTGGGGGCAATAAAAGAGATAAGGAGACTTGTTTCAGAGTACTTTATCAGTGATTAAAACTGAGTTAATTGAATGATAGCAGAACCATGGTTTATAATAGTCTGGCATTTACCCAAAAGCAAATTCAGAACCAACATTGACATAGCATATTTGGGATTTATCAGAAGGATAGGATGGTCAAATATGGCTCCTAACTTTGGGTCAGCAATAACCTTCCTTAGCTCTTATACTCACCCAGGATATTACCATTTCCTTAAACTGTGATTTCCTGAAAGACCCTGGTAAGTTTAAAAGAAGCAGCAGGTATCAGAACACTGAAGGAGAATTCCTGCCTCTAGATCCTCTGGGTATCTTTTGACCACTGTCTGGGCAGCTTAGGCCCAAGCAAAGCTAAGTGGCCACACACCCAATAGGTCTAGGATGGCCTGTAAGCCTAGTACTCAGGAGGCTGAGGCAGAAGGATTGTTGCAGGTTTTTTTTTTTTTAATTTATTTTAAAAATAAAAGAAGGAAAACATTAACAAACAGGCATCCATTTACAAAATAGCATAAGAACAATACAAACAGTACAGAGTTACAGACAAAGTCATAGGAAATTAACAGTGGTTGTTGTATTACATATTGATATATTCAAAGTGGTTTCTCAGGAAAACAGAAATGCAAGATTGATCAAATAAGTAATCATTAACTGTTCCTTTCAGTAAAGCGATAGAAATCAGTAGGATTGTTGCAAGTTTGAGGCCAGCCTGAGCTACAGAGTGAGCTCAAAGCCACCTTGAACTGTACAGCAAGACCCTATCTCAAAAAGACGAAAAAAAAATAGGTCTAGAATGAAAGCTAGACTATGTAAGATACAGCAAGATGGTTCATACTCTGACTTACAACCTGGGAATAACTACTTGACATGAACACTTAAGATTGAATAAGTATTTATGAAATATATAAGCAACATTTAAAAATGTGTTAGTGAAATGAGGCTGAAGAAGCATAGAAGACTGTTTTATTATCATTGGTTAACAAATTATTCACTCAAATGGTAATGCTCACATTGTACCATAAAATAATACTGCTTACAAGGAAAAAATGTACTAGTACTGTTTTTTACTGCTTACAAGGAAAAAATATACTAGTACTGTTTTTTACTTGCTGAGCTTTCTTGCAAAACAAAGCCAAATTGAGGGAGTTTAAAATTTGAGAAACAAGCTGGTTGTGGTGGTAAATGTCTGTAATCCCAGCACTTGGGAGGTTGAGGAAGGAGGATCACTGGTGAGTTAGAGGCCAGCCTGGGTACATAGTGAACTCAAGGCCAGCCGGCACTACACAACAAGACCCTGTCAGTAGACAGACAAAAGTTAAAGAGACACTGTTGGTGCTTGTTACACAACACACTTTTTCATATCTCGAACTGCCTAAGAAGTAAGTGCTATTTCCTTCTCAAAGACAGGAAAACAGATTCTTGAAGTTCCCTAAAGTGACCAAGACGCAGCATAAGAGGCAGCATTAGAATGTAGATCTTACTGAAAGCCCTTGGTTTAAAACTTTTTAAAAAGTCTGTAATATATAATTTATATATAAATAAAATGTATAAATAAATAAATATATAGTACCTGCTTATTAGAGAATATTTGGGAAACTGGTAGGAAGGAAGGAGACAAGCACATGACCCCACCTCTCAGTGCAGGCTAGGTCAACATTTTGAGATACCCATTTCAGTTTTCCTGTTGTATATTATTAAAAGCATGAACATGTGACATAATGAAATCATCATAGAGAAATGTGCAACACCTTGCTGACCAGAATTCCATCTTCAAAAGCTATCAACAAGAGTCTTCAGTTTGACACAGGAGGTGATAACAGTCATCAAAGGTGATCGTCTCATTGATACCAAACTATATTGCAATTGAATTCACCCTTTGAAGATCCAAGCTAAAGCTCCTGAAATTCTTGAGGATCTATTGCTCCTCTCCTATCACTATCAAAACAGATGAAATGTTGTCTCCAGACATTTATACAGCCCACAGTTCCTTAAGCTCATTGAACCCCATCATGCCAGATGTATCTTTATCCAGAATTGAAACTATAAATGGACAGGTCTCCAGATAAAAAAAGTTTTTTATTCTCCAGCAGTGCCTGATTGTCTTTAGACAGTTCTATAATTCCCTAGTATCTTTTTGCCCAGCCTATCCAGCTACTGCAACAAAGTCCTGAAATTATCTGGGAAAGGCAGGGCTTCTGGAGGTGCCTCCACACCTCCTGGGTAGTTCCTGCCACAGCCCCCCACATACACTGTGGTACAGACTCTGGACAACTTTCTAAGAAGTTTTCTCCCTTCTGTTCTGTAGTTCACTAGACACATAATTCTTCTTTGACTATATAGTATTAGATTCTAGAATCTGAGGAGTTGGGATTACTTCTGGCTCTCCCATAATTGTACTTTCAACTTTATTTTTTTGTCTTTTTGAGACAGGATCTCGCTATGCAGTTCAGGCTGGCCTTGAGCTCACTTTGTAGCCCTGGCTAGTCTCAAACTCACAGTGATCTTCCTGCTTCAGCCTCCCGAGTGCTAGGATTACAGGCATGCACTACCACACCTGGCCCCCTAGTTTCAACTTTATGAGAAAAAGATTTCTTTGCATTTCATACCAATCTAACTTCAAATGAAATTCAGCAAATTAATAAAGTACCATATAAGCCCTTGGGAAATACGGTGACACTTAAACATGTTTCTATAAAAAAAAAAAAGCAAAAGTCTGTTAAAGGAAGACTAAGGGGTACATGTGTATGAGTGTGTGTGGATCATACATGTATATGCTCTATCTTTGGTAAGACTACTTAAATATAGTATGCATAGTGCCATTAATGTACTCTCTGAATAGCAAGCAGCTATCTACAGTGGATAACAGCTGGGTGTCCTCTCTCTAACTCAGTTCTGACACTTTACACGAAGGCAGCAGCATATCCCGCGGTTGAGGGCTCAGTCCCAAAAGATCACTTTCCCTCTTCTTTCCTCTTGTTAATTACAAGCCTCTGCTGACCTGCTGTAAACTGAGGTGCCCATGACCCCTTCCTTAGGTCAGATTAATTTGCCAGAGTAGCTTACAGAACTGAGAAACACTTCCTTATGTTTACTGGCTTGTTATATAGAATATTACAGTTTTTATTTTTTTAATTCTCTTAAAAAGAAATATTACAAAAGATACAGACGATGACATTCATAGGACAGTGCACTGGAAAGAGGCACAGTGTTTCCACGCTCTTTCTGGTTGCTCCAGGAAATGTCCCGTGTTCAGCTGTCCACAAGCTTCCAGAAGCCTGGCCTTTAGGGTTTTTATCGAAGCTGTATTCCACAGGAATGGTTAAATCTGTTGCCACGGGTGATCTACTTACTCTTCAGCCCCTCTGCCCTCCCCAGAAGTTAGGGGTTGGGCTGTTTTTCCAGTGGCCAGCCCCTATCCTAAAGCTATGTATGTAGAGCTTGCTAGCTATGTGTCAACTTATTAGAGAAGAAAACATCACTTGAAGATGCCAAGGATTTTAGGTGTTAAATTCCAGGGAATGGGGATGATGACCAATTACATATCTCATATCACACAAGCCATCTCTCTTTTTGCCATTTTTTTCTTGTTTTAAAATTTAGAACTCCGGGGGCTAGGGATTTAGCTCAGCAGCACAGCACTTGCCTGGCAAGCACAAGGTTGTGAGTTCAATTCCCGGTACTGGAAAAAAATAAATAAATGAAATGAAATGAAATAAAAAACTCCTTAAAACTGTATTTAATGTGTTATTTTGTAAATCTTTTGCCATAATAAATTAAATCTTTGCCTTGAAAATGAACTAAGCAGAAAGCTAGGAAAAAAATATCTATATAGTACGGGAAGGTTGTCCTAGGCCAAAATGCCTTGTTTTAGGAAGTAACTTTTTTTTTGTATTGTCGGATCTAATTTTCCATACACATGTGGTACTTGTTAGGTATGGCGAAAATGCAGCATACGAATCTTCACAGTAGCCCAACTAGAAGACAACAGTATTCAGATGAAGAAGGATTTGGCTACCTTCCTATATCACTTGCGCATTGAGGCAGAGGTGGAAGTGGTGGAAATGGTGAGAAAGTAGAGTTTGAGACAGATGAGATTATCATTCTCCCAAACCTACCCTGTCTTCTAGAACATTTTCTACTTTGGAAATTGGTTATCTGTTAATGTGGATTAATGCTGGAGTTCCAACAAAGTCCTAATCTGTTGACCTAGATAAGTAGAATGCATAAATGTGTTTGGTAATGCTTTTGGGTTTTGATTTTTTGTTTATTACACAGCTTTTATATTTAAGCCAGATTCTTTCTTTATATATATTTTACTAATTTTTAATTATGTTTGAAATCACACATGGTGCATTATGTGTGAAAAAACTCAACTTTTGTGTTTTGAGGAAACACATATAATGGTTAGATGATAAAAAAGACTTAAAGCCTCTGGACTGGATTTGATCTATAACCCCAAAATAATGTTTTTATATATAATTCAAAGACTGAAGAAAATAGCTATGAAAGTTAAGTTGGTATTGTACTTTTTCTGATTTAAGTTAGTGAGTAGAAAGAAAAATACGCTTTATGTGCTTTTTTGCCCACTTTGTGTGATGACAGCATGACAGTGACATATCAGCTTATACTTATGAGCGCACCCTGATGATGGAGCAGAGGTCCCAGATGCTCCGGCACATGCGGCTGTCCAAAACGGAACGCGACAGAGAGGTGAGACTTTGCTGGACCGATCTACCTAATCCTACCTCTGTGAAGTCTGTCAGTGAAAGGGAGGATACTATATTGTTTTCACAGAATGATAAAAATCTTCTCATTTTATCACTTATCCCAATATAACCTCATTTTGGTTTCAGAATAGTTGATGCATGAGAAAATTAGGTAGATAAACTGTGTTGGACCTTCCTCAGGCACAGTTGGTGAAAGACCGGAACTCAATGCTACGATTGACCAGCATCGGTTCTGATGAGGATGAAGAGACAGAAACCTATCAAGAGAAGGTACACATGACTTGGACAAAGGACAAGTACATGGCTTCCCGGGGGCAAAAAGCCAAGTCAATGGAAGGATTCCAGGACCTCCTTAACATGCGTCCGTAAGTTTTCCCACATAATGTAGTATCGTACTCTGTGGAACACACAGAATGAAGTTGTCCATTTCACCCTAACTCTGCCCATTCCCAGTGCAACACTACGCAAGCTATCTCCTGTATCTCCATGCACTTCACATTCATAGTGTGTGCTTATTATAAAACAAGAAAATACATAATGCAAACTCAGAGGATATTAATATAAGGAAATTATTTTATCTATTATATCATAGTCAAAGGAAAAAAGTTCTGATTATCAAGTTTTTAAGATTCACTATGACTGTAGTTTTCTTTTCTCCTTTATTACTTCTGTCTTCCCCATCCAGGGACCAGTCTAATGTAAGACGGATGCATACAGCAGTGAAGCTCAATGAGGTTATAGTAAACAAGTCCCATGAAGCAAAGCTGGTTTTGTTGAATATGCCAGGACCACCCCGAAACCCTGAGGGTGATGAAAACTGTATCCTTTCTGAGCATGGAGCTGCTAGTGGGGTAAATCTTTTTAGCCTGTTACTTAGATGAGTCAACCAGGTGAGTTTAAGTTATTGTTTGTGCCCTAGCTTCCCTCACTGAGGAAGATTTTAAAGTTTTAGGCAGATTTTTACAGATGTGTAAGCCTGGTTAATATCCTTTTGGGAAGTTGGAGGTATATTACATTTTCTCAGAACTTAAAGTCTTTTTGGGTGGCCTTTTGGCAACTAGACTTCTAATTTTCAGTCAGGTGATAGAGGCACAGTACCTACATCTTTTATCCTTTCAGGCTCTACACGTTCTGTAAAGCCTCTTCTGGATAGAGCTAGGGGAGAAGTAGTTAAGAAAAAAGACTCAGGGTTTGTTCATACTCCCATCCTAGGGTTATTTTTATGGGAACCCTTTACTATAACAACATAGACTGGCCCATTCCTACCAGTCCATTAAGGAAGTTTTTAAAAATGAAAACAATAGGCAGAAAATCTTGACAAGCAGCTTCACTTACACATTACTTAGAAGATGTTCTCTAGGGGCCTTAGAAACTGCCCTATTGTGACATTTTTGGGGCATTTTTTGTCTAATTTCATTATTTAGAATAATATATTACTTATGGATTTTCCCATTTCTTAGCAACATTTAAAAAATATCTAATGAACAAGTTTGTAGTGTATATGCAGAGACTAGCTCCCTGGATTACTTCACTGGGTTAAAATGAATCTAAAGTAGTATGTAACTATTGAGAAACATGCTGATTTTGCATCAGGTGAACTCGGATTATAATGATGCCAGATTGTAAAGTGCATTCTTCCTTCTGCCTGTGTTTCCTTGACAAATTCTGAAGACATGGAGTTCCTAGAGGTGCTCACTGAGGGACTTGAACGAGTTCTCCTTGTCCGGGGTGGTGGCAGTGAAGTGATCACCATTTATTCATAACCTACTTCTGAAAGACTCTGCTTGGTCTCACCTTTCCTAAGTGGCTTCTGTCCTCCATTGAAGTGACAGCTCTTTCCTACCATTCCCACTCTAGAGGCCTATATTTTATACCCATCACACTAAACTCTCGATGAGCTGGCCTCTAGTTGTTGTGCAAGAGTACAAATAGATCTGTTCCTGGCTCCCATGTGATCTCAACGGAAGAAGCACATAGTCCCTCTACATCAAAAAAATGATCAAATCTTAAAAGCCATTTCTTTACCAGTAGAAGACAAGTTAGAACAAACTAAGTCAACAAATGGGAACCCTTCAGTACCACTGAAGGTAGTCAGTTGGTAAAAGGGATGCTAGAAATTTACCTAAAGAGAAAAAAGAAGTACATATCCAACATTAAAGATCAGTCTCAGAAATCATGGTTCAGTGATACCACAGAGGAAACAGCTAGGTAGACAGCCTCACCTCACTGAAGAATTTATGACCAAGTAACACGGAGACCTCTTATTTTTGTGATGATAACCTGTGGCGAGCTGAGATGGAAACCTTTTTAGCTGATTTTCTTTAGTGTATCTACTGCTTACTAAGACTCTTACTTTTTCAATTAGGGTACTAATATTCAGAACCTGAAATGTGGCTGCAGATTCTACTACTTCAAGATTCCCCCAAAACACCAGGTTTAATTATTTATTGTATGTCAGTGTGTATTTCAGGTGTTTGTTTCTATCAACCCGAAATCCATTCTGTTGTTGTAACAGCACAGGCAATCTTACCATGGCAATTGATTTTTAGAAAGTAAAAGTTTTTCCTTTCAGGTTCTTTTTGTATGGTTGGACTAAGGGATCTTCAAAGAGTAGATATAAAATATACTGGAATACAGTCTGGAATCTTTGTGATAAGGGCAAAACATACAAGCTGTTACATAAGAAATGTAGGTCAGGATATACATTAACGAACAGGGTCTCCTTCCTTTCCTCCTTTTTATGCTGAGTTACGAGACACAGGTCAAAAAATCATATGAAACAAACAGTAGGATGACTGGCTAAAATCATCCTCTGAAGACTTTGGACCATCTTCTAAAGGGGAAATTCAGCTTTACATTGAAAGTTCTAGAGCCATACTCTTGCCATGGTGCCAAAGTGATGGAGCTGCTACTCTCCTTATCTACTTACAGTAGCATACAGACTGGCAGTGGCCCAACTCAAGAAACTTTTCTTTCACTAAGAAACCTATGGCCTCATCTCCAAAGCCATAGTTACAGGCTTGAGGCACTCACCTAAATGTCCAAAGTAAGAGCATTTCTCCTTTTCTTTTTGATTTTATGATTTAATTAGTCTATAGAAACTTGGCTGTAAACTGAGATTATCCAAGTCAATGGACATTTGCTGTTTCATGTTTTTTTTTTTTCAGAAAGCTCTAAATGTGCCAAGGAAGTACTTGAGAAAGTTCAGCTTTTTATTTACTGATTTATCACAAAACATGTGGCTTACTAGCATAAGGAAACTTCTGGTGGGGCTGAGCAATAATTTTGAGTATGTGAAATCTACATTTCTTTCCAAGATAGGATTTAAGAAACCATCTTCTTGCCTGTATTTGTGGATGCTTTTAAGTTTTTTATTTATTAATAAATAAGTGCCACTCTTTGATTACCCAATAGGATATGCAACAAGCTGACTCTTAAGTGTCACAGGTAATATTTGAACCATAAGGACAGAGAAAAAAACCTTAAAAGTAGCTTAAGGAAATAAGTCATCTTGATTTCTCCCTTTTGATCTTCTTTACCCTCCAGGCCCACTCATGATAGCAACACAGACAGGATCTTAAAAGACTTTTTTCCTGCTCCTTCCTGCAGAAGGTAGAAAGTTTGTTTACAGCTCCCATTGTAACACTCCATTGTATAGTTGAGTATAGCAGTAATTGACCAACATCTTAAAGACCAACATCTTAAAGACCCATACTTTCAAAGTCAGCCTGCCCAGGAATTCCTCAGCCCCTGGCCAAAGTGCTACATACTGTTTCCATACAGGATAAATACGGGCAGAAAACAAGGTTAATTTCAGAAGTATTATTTGTGGTTGGAGCTCTGTAAGAAACCTTTTAAAGAGATAAAGGAATTGATGGCTGTTAACATAGCCACAATTTCAGGTGTGGAAATGGAAAATCACTGTTACATGGAAAAATGGTTTTTAGGCCAGATTTATACTCATCTTTGTCTAGAGCATTTCATGTCTATTGTTGCTTGTTGTTTGTCTGCAAAGTGTCTCGTCTTTTAATCACTGCAAATAAAGCAATACTGAAAACTTGAGAGAGAATGCACCTTAGGGGAAAGGGCTTTTTGTTTTGAGAGGGAAGATAAAGATCTTCCCCTGTCTTTTGAAAAAGACTCAGCTTTTAGGTCTTACCTATGACTGTACCAGGGCAGATGATAATAATACACGTTCTCCCACTGCTGGCCTTCTGCCTTCTGGACTACCTTAAAAGCTGGAGTCTGAACTGCAGTGTCTACTCAAAAGGTGCCAGGTTCCTGTTGGCAGGCAAAAGATCACACTGCTCTTTATCTTCTGTTGCCTCTGATTCTTGTAGCCCCAAGGATTCCACCAGTCCTCATTCCCCCTACACATGTTAAAAATTCCTTATTGTGGGTATTAAATAACAGTTACACTCTAAGCATATATGTGCTCTTTTTTCTGGTTTCTTTTCTTTTCATCATGTATCATTTGAATCAGCATTAGTTGCTCACATCTTTAAATGTCTCAAACAGAACTTTTATGTCCTGGTTTGTGTTAAGCAAAAGTAAAATATTAAGGAAAATAGATTTAAGGGAAACTTGTGAAACTTTTTAAAGCGCTGTTCTCAACCATTTAATTTATTGAAAGGAGACGCTGCTATGATTCTTGATTTAGCAGCAACCATTCTTTTGTTTACATGCAGTTCTGGTTTTATTTGTTGTTCTGCTCTGTACTGGAAACATAAATAAAGTTTTCTACATTATTTTCAGTCAGGGGTTGTGGTATAACTTCTTCAGTTTGTAATAAAATGCACGTTGTCCTTCTAGGCCCTAGCTCCTTACCATGGATAAAGGAGAGCTTTCTGGTTCTTCTCAGAGTAAATGCTTATTTTAAGAGTATTACTTAGGAGCCACTGGGCTTAAGGAGGAAGTAAATGAAATCCAAATGCTTAGGCCCTCCCTGGGTGCTTCTTCCTCCAGTTCACAGAAGCAGTCCTCCACCACTGAGCTCCATCCTCTGAAAGAAGGAACAGTGAACAGGTGAGGGGCAAGTAAGTGTAGAAGTAACATCTTAAATCTGTTACTTAATACTCTAGATTATAAGTTCTATTTAGGCTTATCTAAAGCAAACAAACATTAAAGAACTTCTGATAGCTTTTATTAAAGCTTATTACTGTAACACAAACTGTCATCTCCTACCATCAAACGAATCAGCTATTCACTGCACATTATACTTCTCCACATTCAGCTTTTCTTTTGCCTTACCTCAGGGGGCTCGATGAAGGCTAACCAGTCTGATGCATGTGTAGGCAAGAGTCCCATGGACTGGCACTTGTAAACAGCCAATGCCAAACCCATTAGGTTTCCAATGAGATAGACCAAACCCTGAAGAAACTTCTGGCTTGAACTTTCAAGCATCTTGAAAGCTGTTGGAGTAACAGAAGCTGTCAATACCCAAACAACGTTTTTCCCCCAATATGAATCAAGGTAACTATATATTAATACAGACTCAAAGTAAGCAAGTAAGACCACTAAAGGAAAAGAAAAAAAACTATCATGAACACCATCTTCCCCTCGATGCCACCTATGTACTACCAACACCCTATATAGTCTGTAACCAAGAATTATGCCTAAGAATTTGTTTTTAGTTATTATTTCAAGAGTACTTACTCGCTGAAATGGCCATAAGTGCCTGAATGGGTCGCCAGGCCATCATACACACCATCATAGTAGGGAAGATGGAGATAGTATTGCCTGCCATGTACATGATGAAGAGGTTCATGGGAATCTGTTTGAGAGGACCCAAGGCGATATCCCAGCAGCGCTAAAACAAACACAGAGCTTTAACGTCATCACTACCTTCAGTGCCATATTTACCATATCACTGCTGCTAATGTCAAATGAACAGAATTCCTAACACCATGCTTCTGATTGAGCTAACGCCTCAATTTCACCACCTCTTCCAGATACCATGTCACCACAGGAAGGTTTATCTCTTACTAAACATAAGAGACTTCCCTTAGAGATTTTCCTTGTCATTTTTTTCTTACAATTTTGGCTAAAGTAAAAAATCTCCCTACTTTTGTCCTCATACTTCTGCAGCTGTCACTATCCCTTCTACAACTGAAAAAAAGATAAATCCACATACTGAGAAATTAGCATAGCTCAATCAGTAACTAATAGAAGAAACAAATCAAGACATAGAAGATCTGAATAATATAACAATTGTACCCAATAATTGCAGAATATACTTCTTTTTGAACCACATCAAATAGAGAAACTGAGTACTTGCTGAGCCTTGTAGAAAATACCAAGTTTCACAGAACTCAAGTTATACAAACCATATTATTTGACTACAGTGCAGTTAAACTAGAAATCAATAAAAGGTAACTAGAAAAACCCCTGTGCTTGGAAGTTAACAAATGTGCTCTAACCCTTGAACCAAAAAATTACAAATGGAAAATGACAATGTGACAAAAACACACATTAAAACTGATAACAGTGGGAAAATGCTGCATTAAAACTTGTGGGCTACGGCTAGAACTATGAGAAAATGTGTAATCTTACATACTAAAAGGCTACAAGTTTATTTTCAAGAAGCTATTAAAACAGGATTTTGAAAAGATAGTAAAAGATTAGAATATATAAATTCAACAAAGTCAAAGGTGTCATTTTGAAAAAATATTTAAAATCAATACTAGCAAGCCTGATGAAGAGAAAAGACAACTATTTAAAATGAGTAAGGAAATGGCATGGTAGCACATTGCTGTGACCCCAGCACGTGTGAGGCAGAGGCAGGACTGCTATAAGTTCAAGACCATCTTGGACTACATAGTGTGACCCTGTCCCCTCTACTCCCCCAAAAATCAAAGAAAAGTACATCTTTATAGATCTTGCAGATATTAAAGTGAACATATGAACAACTTTATGCATTTAAAATTTTAGAAAAAATTCCTAGGGAAAAAATAGGAATTACCAAAATGTGCTAAGAAATTACAGACAAAAGTAGTCCTGTAATATTAAAGGAGCTGAACATAATAATTAAGTCCAAATGGCTTCCCTTGGCAAATTCTAAACATTTAAGGTCAAAATAAAGCTAATCTTACAAAAACTCTTATGGAAAATGGAAACTACAATTCATTGTGTAGGGCCTGATAAATACCAAAACCTAAGGATATTATGAGAAAAAGTTTATAGGTCAGTCTCACCCATGAATCTAAAAATTCCCACAATTTTATGTAAAAAAGTACAGCTATGTAAAAAATAACATCAATCACTAGTGTTTGGTTTACTTGCATTAAAATAAGTGGCCATATCTATAAACAGTCCTCAAAAAATTCTTACAACAGACTTGTAAAGAGTGTATTTTATGATAATGTACCTTTAAAATTAGATCACTTTACTAGTACTTTGGTTGCATGTATTTATATTATACTCTGATGTGCCAAGGTGAAAAATTATAGGATAATACTTATCAAGAAAAAAATTGAAGTTGTATGTGGTGGTGCATGCCTGCAGTCTCAGCATTCTGGGAGGCTGAGGCAGGAAGATAGAAAGCTTGAGCCCAGCCTGGGCAACTTAGCAAGACCCTGTCTCAGAATAAAAAGGGACTGGGGATGTAGCTCAGTACAAAAACCCTGGGTTCAATCCCAGTACCAAAAAGGACAGAGTAAGGAAAGGACTGACGGTGGCTCTGTCCTTTTCATGTTGTGAAAATTACATGCACTTCATGAAACAAAAATCACAAAGCACTGTGCAGTATTAAGGCTGACAGAGAACTGTGAAAAGCAAAGAAAAGTGCCAAGCACCATTCTAGGGACTCAGGATACATCAAAAATCCTGATCTTACAGAGTTTACAAGAGAGAGAAAGCAGATGAACAATAAACAGCATATATACTACATTCCTATCACATACGAACATTACAAAGAAATATAAAGTAGGTAAACAGAGAATGCCGTAAAGTAGGCTTTAATATGACATTTGAGATCCAAAGGAAATGCACAAGCATGTCATGCAGGTATTGAAATGGAGGAAGAGAATTTCAGGAGCAAGGAAGAACAAATACAAAGCCTAAGATAAGATGGGAGCCGAAAGACACTAGGCACACAGAACCCTCTCTGTTGGCACACAAGTCAACTCACCTAGGATTGCCCAGCAGTGCAGCAGCAGATATTCAGGTTTAATTTGCAATCTGATCTCAGCTGTCAGGAAGCTGAGGCAGGGGCTTCACTAGGAGTTGGAGGCCAGACTAGGCTACATAGTGAGTTCAAAACAAGCCTGAACTATATAGTGAGACCATCTCAAAAAGCAAAAATAAAAATAGTGTTGGCACTTCGTGATAAATAAGTAGGTTTTGGGTTGCAGTTTGGGCACTCAGTCTCTGAAAGGTTCACCATCAGTAAAGGTCCCCAATTGACAGCAATTTGACTCCTGGGAGACATGTTAAGACGAAATATTTTTGGTTGTCACAACTAGGAAAGGATACTACTGGCATCCAATGGGTAAAGCCCAGGGATACTAAACATTCTGCAAGGTACAGTTCCCTTTAACAAATAAATACCCTCAAATGTCAACAGTGGTGAAGTTAAAACATCATGCTTTAGTTCAATGTAGATTACTGTACACAAACTATACCTCAAAAGAACTTATATATATATATATCTATATATACACACACATTTATAAACATATATAGACACACATTTATAAACATTTATTGCAGAAATTTGGTGGGGGATGGTATCAGCGTGATAGGTGAGCAGTCAGAAGTAGTAATAGGATTTGGGATCTATATTGAAGGTAAAACCAGTAGAACAACCTCACAGATTGAATATGTGGTGTGAAGGAACTTGAATAGAAAAGGATTTGAACTGGTAGGTGTTGTCACCAAGAGATCTTCAACCTGCTTCCTTATACCTTAGGTTACAAATGTCTTTTCTTTCTCCAATTATTGAGCATTTCTTGGGCTGATATGTAAACTACTGTAAAACACTAATCTCAAGCAGTTTAAGCTCCCAGAAATTCAGTTTAAAGGCTATCTATAGTACCGCTCCCTGGGACAGGAGGGTGGATCAGGACTGGCCTAAGGTGTACGGTAACATGTATTCCTCCGTACCTTCTCCACCAGGATCCGGTCTGTCTCTTGCACGCTGGTGTCAGGCACTTGTTTGTCCAAATAACCGACTGGGTACAGTGAATCTCCCTGGCCACTGCCCCGGTCACTTCGGCCCCTGAATAAAGAACCAAAAGAAGATGCAACTTTTCAAACTTTATAATCCACATTTTCCGTTCTATTAGTCATAGATTTAAAGATCTTCAGATGTCCCTACCCAAATTAGATCAAGCTATCTCGTGGCTCTGCCAAGCCCTTCCCTATTGGGAGGACCGAAACAAGCATCCTCAGAGAAAAGTAACCTCCCTGACAGAAGAGCGGCTACCTCCCCTGGTGACGTCTGTGCGCCACCCAATCTTTTCAGAGACTTGCGCCTGCAGCTCAGGCCCCATTACTCTGAAGCTGTTCCGCAGTGAAGGCTCTGACGAGCTTCGCCCAGGCGCCTTACCTGCTGCCTCCTCCTGGCCCGCTCAGCTCAATGGCCCACTTGAACCGTCGCCCTCGGTTGGCTACCAGGCCCCCCTGGGCTGTCATGGCAACTGCTGCAGCTTACAGCTATGGAGGTCCTCGCGAAAGGTACACCTGTCCCCGACTGCACCCGCGCCACCGACCAGCTTTACCCACCGGCGCCGCCAGTTGTGCGTCGCACACCGCAAGCGCACTTCCGGCGCAGGATACAGACGTCACCGTCCCGGAAATTCGTTCTCGGGAAGATTGAGAAGCTAGCAAAGGGTTTTTAGAAAAGCGGAGAGAGAACTACAGGCAGGGTTTACATTTTCTTTTTCTTCTTCCGCCTCAGCCTCCCGATTGCTGAGGTACAGGCGTGCTCCTCCCTTTCTAAATAGACCTGTGTGTGCCTTGATCTCAGAGGTGCGCTTTAGGAGGCAGAAGGGTAGTCTCATACTGTATGTTAGGAATTGGAGCCAAGAAAAGTTTCTTAGTTTAAAAAAAACTTTATTCTACTAGCACATGCTTTCTGTACATCATTAATATATTCTTTGTGGGTCATGGCACATCTTTTTACATATCTTTCCCCTCCCTCCTCTTCCTCCACCTCTCCTTCCCTTAGTACCCCTCCCACTTGCCAAAGATCTTGTCTCCCTATTGCCCATTGCCTATCTTTAATTTTGCTCTTTGATTTGGATCTCATGTTCCAGGCTGGCCTCAAACTCACTATACATCCCAGGCCAGCCTTGAACTCGCGGTCCTCCTGCTTCAGCCTTCAAGACAAGCTTTTTTGGGCCGGGGATTTAGCTGTGGCTCAGTGCCTGCCCGGCAAGTGTGAGGTCCGTGGTGGCGCACGCCTGTAATCCCAGCACTTGGGAGGCTGAGGCAGGAGGATGGTTGCGAGTTCGAGGCCAGCCTGGGCTACAAAGTGAGCTCAAGGTCACCTGAACTGCAAAGCGAGACCCTGTCTCAAAAAGATAGATAAAAACTTTTTGACTTTATGTTCCCAGGAACAAGAAGTTGAAATCCACTTTGACTTCTGGCTTCACCACTGTGTGACCTACGCCTCCGAGTACCGCATGGCCACCGCATACCAGGAACTTTGTGTTCATTTAATTTAACTCCCATAGTAATCCTGAGGGGCACATGGTTTCATCCCCATCCTGCACAAAGACAAGATGGCCGTTGGGAGTAAAAAGGCGCGGGCTCGGAATTCATATGGCCTCTTTTTTTTTTTTTTTTCAGTACCAGGGATTGAACTCACGACCTTGTGCTTACCAGGCAGGCCCTTACGCCACTGAGTTATCTCCCCAGCCCCAGTGGCCTCCTTTTTGAACCCAGGCTTCATCACTTAATTGTGTCACCTTAAGCAAGTTAAAGACACTGTTTCAACTTCCTCATATGGTATGTAAACTGTAGATCTATCTTTGAAGGACTGTTGTGCAATTAAATAGTACCTGCTACATCTCCTTGATTGTTTAAATGTCATTAAGTAATCTGCATCACTATGCCTCCTGAGTGGGTGTTGTACTCAATTGCATATCTATATCATAATTAAACCTAGTATTGCACGTTATTTCCACCCCTTTATAGCCAGTTACAGTAAATATCCTTGAAGTTTTATTTCCTTAGTCTTAGAATTGCTAGTTGAGCGTGGGCATCTTAAAAGAATTCTCATTTAAAATGCCCACTAGGAAAAATTGTATCATTTGTTGTTACGGTTTGGGTCTAGATGTCCCCCACAAAGCCTCATGTGGTCATAGGTGGGCCTTTTTCAGAGGTGGCCGAGTCTGCAGTGTGTGATGCTGGGATGAAGGGTGTGTGATTACGGTGTCAGTGCACTGATTAGTTTGGCACCGCCCTAATCCTGGTATCCTGGATACAATGTATGGGACAGAAATAGGCTTGTCTTCTCCCTTGCCTGCTTGCTTTTGCTGTCTTCGGCTTGCCACGAACTGGTTCTCCTCTGCGGTGCCCCTCTGCAATGCCAGCCTGCCTTAGAGCTGAATGCCACCCATTACCTCTACAAACTGCGAGCTAAATAAACCTTTCCCCCTTTAACTTGTGGGTGTTGGGCATTTTGTTTCAGCAATGAAAGAAAACTAAGACAGTAACATTCTGCCTTCTTACAAACGTTTTAAACTGTCAGTTTACAAATGGTACTGTATTATTTTTAAATTTATATTTCTTTGACTCCAAGTTGTGGGAGACCAGGTAAGGCCTAACTAACTTCTTCTGTGAGCACCAGAGAGAAAGGCAGTGAGCGGGCATGCTGAAATGCTACAGGGATAAGTAAAAACAGCTGAGAGCATGTCATTTACTTCGCTATGCACCGTGGATGGTGGGAGACAGGTAAGTCCTGTTTTACTGATTGCTTGTGCCTGTGTCTGAATGAATAAAGCCAAGGTGGCCAGTCTCAGGGTTCTGTCAAGGGGAGATAAGAGTCTCCCTAGACCCCACATTTTAACCTAATTCTGTGTCTCTTTGTGTTTCATCTTTGTCACCCCTTGTTCAGATAGAAGGTTAGCCCCCTACATTAAGTTATTGGTTATGGGTGGAGCTTGATTGCAGATGCTGAAGATTTCCACTCTGCCTTGTTTTTGTATTTTGCAAGTATTATATGTTCATAGCAGAATGTTTGAATAAGTCAGAAATGGAAAAGTTTTTTCCCACCCAATCCATTCTAAAATGCACGTCTGATCATAGGAAGACCCAGTGTATAGACTGCTTTCCATGCTTCTTTCTACTTTTCTGCCTTTACCACATTAGCTCCGATGAACCTTTGAGACTCATCCCAAGATTCCCTAAGGCCCTGGTGGGCAGTCCTCTCTGTCCTACTATATTTTGCATAATAGCACTTAACCAGTTTGCACTGTTTGTTGACCTAAGTACTTACTTCTGCCCTCTATACCATATCCCAGGTAAGCCCCAGCCCATTCCTTACTAAAGATTGAACCCAGAGCCTTCACACTCACTCCCAGAGCTACATCCTCAGCCCATTTTTTATTTTTGAGACAGGGCCCTTGCGTTGCCCAGGCTGGGCTGCAATTCATGATCCTCCTACATCAGCCTCCCAGAGTACTGAGATTACAGTGCCACCATTCTCTGAAGGCAGAAACCATATGTTGATTATCTTTGATTTCACAACCTCTTGCCTCAAACATAGAAAGCACAGCAGTCCTCCCTTATCTGTGGGGGATACATTCCAAGACTACCAATGGATGCCTAAAATGCAGATAGTACTGAAACCTGTACATACTAGGATTTTTCTTATAAACACCTAACTAAGCTAAAGTTTAATTTATAAATTAAGCACATTAAGAGACTAACAACACCTAATAAAATATACAATTGTAACATTATATCATAATAAAAGATGTGAATGTATCTCTTCTTTCAAAATATTGATTTTTTTTCTTTTCTCTTTCTCTCTCTTTCTTTCTGTCTCTTCAGTACTGAGGATTGAGCCCAGGACACCACACTGAGCTACATTCCCATCTCTTTTTATTTTTTGAGACCACGTCTTGCTTACTTCCCCTGGTGGGACTCAAATTTGTGATCCTCCTGCCTCAGCCTCCCAGAGGTCTGGGATTATAGGTTGTGCCACCACGCCCAGCCCCCTTTACTTCACCCGTATCTTTGTGATGATATAAAATTACACAGTGCCTAGTTGATAAGATTATGGGAAGTAAATGAGTATGTACTTGCCACATTTTTGTAGTTTGAAGCATGACAGCAAAAGCTAGCACAAATTTCTTCCTTCACAATTTCACAGATAGACTTGCCCTCACTGAGGATCTTAGCAAGCTCAGCATGCAGTTTTTTATCTTTCTTATTGAAAGCTTTGGCTTTGAGCTTTTTACTTGACGCACTTTAGAGCTTCTCTTTGGCATATCAATTTACCAGTATCATCGTTTTTCTTGCACTGTGGGACCTTCATTAAGTAGAGTAAGACTTCTTTGAATACAAACACCGCAGTACCTGGACAGTCAACCCAATAACCTCAAGAGCTTCTAAGTGGGTATGCTGGCAGAAGGGATGATTTGTGTCCAGGGTAGGATAGAACAGAAGAGCATGAGATTTTATCGTGCTACTCAGAATAGCACACAATTTAAAACTTAGCAATTGTTTGTTTCTCGAACTTTGTATGTAATATTTTCAAACTACAGCTGAAACTAGGATAATGAGAGAAATGCTGGTAAGGGAACTAAAGAAAGCAGAATGGGTGGTTCTGCTGTACGGACTGAACGATTACTAGGTGTGATTAAATAAACGGAAAATAAACAACACCAGAATGTGAATGTGCTGTAATTACACTATGTAACATAAAACATTACAATTAGGATATTTAACAATATTAATATTTTATTGGGTAATGGTTTTCATGCAAATTGATCAAATATTCAAGACACTAGTTATGCTTTCATAACTCTGAAATGAGCACTTTTGAAAATACTAATTTGAAAATATTCTTCACAAAATAATTCAAACAACAAACAGTTTTTGAGGGTCTCTGTGTGCCTCTGCCTGGACTAAACATGAATTAGAAAATGATAGGAATATTGAAACTAAAATATCAAATTTCCCTTTCTGTGTGCCTTTGAGCAAATTTGATTTTATTATCTTTTAATTTTTTTTGCAAATGTGATTTTAAATAAAGGAAGTATGAGAAGACAAGCCACGATTCCATAGCTCAAATGAGTTGCCTTGTTTTACTTTTATAGTTTCTGTCCAATTTTTATGTTTATTTTTGTACCCCCTCATTCTAGGAGTTGAAGCTTTTTCATGCCTTCTCTGAATAATTGCATTTGGATTGAAATTTGAACAAAGAAATTTTTGTTCAGATAGCTAAATTAGCAAGAATGAATCCCTTTGCAGAATGAAAAAGCTTTTCCAGAAATGTCGTCAGTTTGGTCTACATCATGTGGCAGCGTCTGTGTAAGAATTCTCTTTGGCTGTCTTTCCCGGTTCAACCAGTTTCCCCAGGGCACCCTAACAGCTCCTAAGCATCTTGGCAGCTTCAGTAAAATGGGTTCACATGGCAAATCCTAGTTATTTTAACTACTATCATTATTGCCTTCTGAAAAAGTCCACCTTAAACTCTTTTATGATAAAATTTATTGTGTCAGTACTGGGGTCTGAAGAAGAGAAAAAGTTTGTTCTTCAGTTTATCTGTTTGCATTTTCAAACTGCTTTAGAGAACAAAAACAGGTTTTTTTTT